GGCTGAACGATAGAATACTGAGATTTCTCCCCTTCATCTTAGTAACAGGACAGGTAAGAGTTTCAGTGTGAGGGTTATTTTTCCACTTGCCATCAACTTTCCTAACCCCGGGAAAGTTCTGTTTGAAACACCCTTCCAGCCATCTCCTTTTCTTACTCCTTTCCATTTTTATTTTTCAGAAGGGAGGCCTCTGGAGAAACTCTTTTTCTCTCCCGCTTTTTCAGGTTGGGCAGAATTCCTGAAGCAGAAGACCTGGCCTCGCAGATGCTGAAAGGCTTTCCTAGGGACCGCGTCTCCGCCCAGGAAGCCCTGGTTCATGACTATTTCAGCTCCCTGCCAGCTCAGCTGCACCAGCTCCCCGATGGTGAGTGAGGGAATATGTGTGTGTGCGTGTGTGTGTGTGTGTGTGTGTGTGTGTGTGTGTGTGTCCGTCCCGGTGTCTAGGCTTTTCCTCCGAGCACTGGAGAATCATAGAATGTACAACCAGAAGTGAGCTTAGAGATCAATCAGCCCTGGAGAAACAAGATGGGACCCAATCTTGCTGGACTGTGGCATGAGATTCTCTGAAACTCAAAAGCACTGGTGGGTTGAGGTGACACAGACTTCCTCATAATGATCCAAACATTTCCCATATATGCACTTACACTTAGAAATTGGGTGAGATGAAAGTTGCCTCTGGGTTGTTTGCTTTCACTAGCATCTGCCAGGAGAAGCAGATCCAAAGTTTCTAACAACCCCCATCTCTCTTTCCATGGAGTGTAAGATGATAGGTGACATGGATATGTCAGAGAGGAGAGCAGAGCCTGTCCTGATTGGTAACCTGATGCTGCCAAGGGAAGTACCAGGGTGGGGCGCTATGGGGAGGGGAGCGTCCTTCCAGGCCAGGCGCCCACGGGAAACACAAGTTACCCTGAAATCAACTTGGCTGCCGGGGCCTGAGGTCATCCTCCAAATCTGAAATCTGTTGAGGGATCATGTGGCTGGAGCTCTCCTCCTGTTTCTCAGAATGTGGCCAGGAAGGGCTATGCAGAGGATGTGGGCAGTGTGGTCGTGGCCAGGGCTGTTGGGGGGAGCTATCCTTAGGTGGGGTTTCTTTGAAAACACCCACCATTCAACTGTAAACAGTTTTTAGGGAGTCCTAAGCTGGAGAGAAGAAAGCTAAGAAGGAAAGTCTAGGGACTCAGACTAGGAAGAAGGTACTGGGATGGGGTGAGGAGCTTCTTGTGCCCAAGATCCTTAGATCTGTGGGCTGGCCAGTCTCCAGGGTTTGTACACTCAGCACCACTGTGTCTAGGACATTGTCCTGCAACAGTCCAAAGCTCTTAGTTTGGGATTTCTCAAGGTATTTTATTATTAAAGTGAGTCATTTAGGATCTCCAAAACTAACCATAATCATACAACTGGGGTTAATGTGCCTTACTTAACCCTGTGAGAAGAGTCAGCCATCAGTATTTATTAAGTTGCCGTTAAGTGTCAAGAACATATTAAGTGCTATAAAAATTGAGGGGAAAAAGAGGCTTGTCCTTGACCTCGAGGATCCTACGGCGTGGGAGGAAGAGAGCGTAAGGAAGAGGAAACAGGGCACCCTCGTACACATATTAGCACAAATCATATCTAAACAGCTACAGTCTGTGCGTAATCAGCTGCAGATGTTCAGAGAATATGTGTGCGCTAAAGGCAGTTCCTTGGAGGAACTAGAATAACTCAGGTGAGATGGATCAGACTGGAGGTGAACCCAGAGTGGAATTTGAAAGGAGGGAAGGGACACGGTTTGGCATATGGGTGGAATAAAAAGCATTCCGGGCGACATTTCATTCTACTGGTGCCTTCCTTGCCCCCCCCCCCC